AAATATTAACAATAATTTATCATTACTTAGTGTTAGAAACACGTAGGATGCGCACGCGGTGACACAGTCCTTTAAATCGATTTTGTTAAACAAGGACCAAGGATAAAGCCTAAAACGTACGTTCCGTTTATCAATTTGTTATTCTTCGCTGGTTTGTTTGTATAAATTTAGGAAAAAGGGACTTTTCCTGGGGGGGGGGGGTGAAAGTGAGCCTCAGAACGTGCATTTTCATTTCCGATCAGCCTGCATCAGAGCAAAGTATCCAAGCTTTCTTGGCGACGTTCTTGTTCCTCCAGACTTTCCTCCCCTTCTGAAGGTGGAGCACGTCCAAAGGCTTGCAGGAGAGTTCGGCTGGGTCCTTTAGAAACGTACTTGCCAACTTAAATTGCTAACTTAAAATCTGCGTATTTTGGAGTATTTTGTGTTTTGTTAGTTTTGCTTTGTAAGATATTTAAAATAGGATAATCACTTTCAGTGGCGGCGCCAGGCTTCCAAATTTGGGGGACATTTGAGGGGCAAACTCAAATTTTGGGGGCAAGATAGAATTTTTAAAAAGGTCGCCCCCCCCAGGAAATTCACCTCCCCCTCAAAACGTGGCGATATTCCTAGGAATATCGCCCCCGGGGGCAAATATCCTAGGAATATCGCCTCCCAGGGGGTGGGGCGAATACCCTAGGAATATCGCCCCGCTTTAGGACATTCGCCCCCCATATATGCGATGTGGTTTTTCAAATAGTTTCGTGATACTTTTTTCATCTTAGTATTGCCTTACACGTTTGAGAATTTAACTCTGCAAAACTAAAGCTTTTTTTGTCATTTTTTGAAACGTTTTATTGGAGTATTGGCAAGTTTTACCATTCAGAGATTTACAAACTAATAGTGAAACTGTAAAAAACAGTAGTGAACGTATACGCGCATTCACTAATGGGTAATGACAACTTACAAGTCATACATTTTCCGAGAACGACAGAATGCTTGTGTAGCCTTTAATCGCTCTTAGTGACTAATAATTTTTTTTGAGGTGGGGGGGGCAAAATGGGGGGGTGCAAAAAATAATTGGGGGATTTCCTTGCCCCCCCCCTGGCGCCGCCACTGATCACTTTAACTGATATCATATGGAGCATAAGGACCCACTTGGGCTTGCATCTAGTCCTTAAGTTTGTTTTATTATATAGCAAGTATATTAGTAATGACATAAGCAATGTTATTATTATTAATATTACTTAATGATCGGACATAAGCAATGTGGATTGACTTTTTATGATACGCTGTACTAATAAAGGAAAGCTTCGCTAAATTTCTTTACTAGTTTTAATTCATTGAGCGGTTTTCTAATTCCCAAGACACCAGAGTCCGTTTTATAGTTTCGTAATTCCCCGATTCCCGTTTATCCTGTCGAATTTCTGTTTCTTTTTTTTCTGTTCTTTTCCCCCCGTACATATGATTAATATTACGTATTAATAATAATTCATAATTGCTCGATTCCCCCCCCCCCCGTTACTCGTTCCTCCATTCCCCATTCCCCCATTCCCCGTTCCTCCATTCCCCGTTCCCCCATTCCACGTTTTTCGACAGAGAAGACGATCTTTTTGCCTGTATTCAATCTACAAACACTAAAAACAAGTTTACTAGTCGTATTTTACTCGTATGTACTCGTATTCTACTCGTATGTACTTGTGTTTTACTCGTATGTTACTCGTATGTACTCGTGTGTTACTCGTATATACTCGTATGTACTCGTGTGTTACTCGTATGTACTCGTATGTACCTGTGTGTTACTCGTATGTTACTCGTATGTACTCGTGTGGTGTTTTAGTCATGATCCTGTAAACACAACACAAACCCGAGAAACTTGTATTAAAATTGCGCCGTGATGAATTTTCCAATTTGCCCAAACTTTGAAACGTTGTTTATACTCTAACTTGGCCATACTTTTCTACATGACATTGAGAGCTTAATCTTTTAGAAGTTTTCGTCGAAGTCATGGCATTTAGGAAGTATCAAGAGCAACATTTGGATATATCCTGATATACTCGAGTTTCCCGATTGATTGTTTGTCATTGTTAACAAAAATTTAAATTTCGCCTACTGCATTGCTTTAGCACTTTATATACACCGATTGTTTGCTGAACATGCAAGAAGATGATCACAATATTATTCTACGTAAACATCGTGAAGTTCAACGCTATAGTTTCCAAAATATATCCACGCAAGTAAACAAATTTCGAGTTTCAACCCAAACAATATATTCCAATGCATGTGCAAGGGCTTTCCCCAGTAGCTAATCTCTCAATAAGGCGGTTTCTAATTGGCTCTAACTTTTTTGAACATTGCCATATGATTGGCTCCTTAAACAAAGGGAATTGAATATGCAGCTCGGGTAAGCAGACGGTAGTATTTCGTGGCTTGGCGTAAGAACTACAACGTCTGTGAGCAGGCTACCATTGTTATGGCAGCAATGGCATTTCAATGTGACAGGTATTTTTTATTTAAAGTAATTTAACTCGAGAATAAGGTCGGTCACCCCCTTTTTTATTTTATATCATAATTATTTTAATATTTTGAATCATTTTCGTGATTTAAAAAATATACTTTCATGCCAAAAATTTTTGAGATCGGAAAATGTAATAATTCATAACAATGTTTATTTTGGCATGACAGAAATTTTTAAAAATCATAACAATGATTCAAAATATTGAACGAATTCTTTTCATGAAATAAAATATGGGGCTAACCGATCTTATTAATTTAAAGTATGGGGGTAACGCGACCTTATAATAGCGGCCATATTGAAGCGTCATTGTTGTCATAGCAACGGCAGTTGCCACTCCATTTTTTCGAAAAATCCAACTCTGTTGTTAATTTTTTCTAATTGGTCTTTTAACATATAGGAACTGATGAAAACTTGGATTTAGATACAGATGAGGATAGCAACAAAAATCTTAAAACATTTGGCACATCAGACCAAAATGAAGGTAAAAAAAGACAAAAGGGAAGTTTTTGATATATCAAGGGTAAAATGCCCGTCCTATACTGACCAATGGAACGCGGTTTTCAAAGCAGTATTTTAAAATGATGAAGTAACTATCTCAACCGTTGCTAGTATTTATTAGAAAATAACTGTATTTTCCTCTTGTTACATTTCCTAATGTTAAACTACCCCCGTAGAGCTAATTTAAATTTGCTGAGCAACTTAGACAACTGTCTGTGAATGCATGAATGACCTACAATTATATCCATGCATTCTTAGTTTTCTTACGATGCTGAAGCGCTTGACATATGATATAACTGTGTTTCTCTCCGCCTTTGCATGATAGACTTTGCATGCTAGATTGAATCTGGAATACTGTTCCACGTCGTTCACCATATTTAAAAAGTGTTCATTATCATACTTAGGTCCGGGTGAAAAGAGAAAATTAGAGAATCTTGCCGTGATTCGGGAGCAAGGTATTATTATTACCAGTTCAAAAAGCCCTAATCATGCATGCATGGCACCATTTACTTTAATTAATCACTATATTGTAATGAAATATTTAAACTAACAAAGTTTGATAATAATCGGAACAAGAATTTTTACTGCAGTGTATTGAATCTTCTTGTATTAATCCACTTAACACCTTTCATTTTTACTGTACTTTCACTCTTAATTCACACAGTAATTCTTAAGATCTCACAGGCTGCCTTTCTTGCTTCATCGTTATAATTGCTTCAACTTGCATTATTGTTCGTTTCGTATACCACCTCCAACGTACCAATTACAATCGGTAGGATCCGGACGGTAAAGCTGTGTTGTCTCTTTTGTATTTCAAATGCAACTTGCTGATGCCTCTCACTTTTTAATGTGTTTTGCCTGAAGGTTTTTTCGTTTGAGCAAGCCATGTCAACAAGATAAAATCTTCCTTTTTTAATTCTATTGTTACATATACGGCCTTTTAGCATTTGTTGATATTCCAAATTCTAGCTCAAGTGCTCAACTTACAATTTCCATTCTCAGTCATCCTTTCTTTATTCCACCATTCTTTAATACTCCATCTGAACCCTTAATTTAATACAGAATACCAGTGATGTATTATTTCTTCGGCTATAATCTAATAATAAAAATTCACTATTATTATATTATTATTGTTACCTTTAATTTGATTCTTTTTGGGAACATTTTTATGTTTTTAGACGTATACCTTAAGATCATCTTTTACTATGTTGTTGAAATTAATTACTTGGAACATGTAGATACGTAATCACCATTTTCATTTCTTTTCACTGTATAATATATAGGTTGTTTTAATAACGTTGTATTTTTTATTGTTAAAATTATAATTCTTCTTCTTCTTCTTCTCCGCCTTTACTTGTATTCTCCCTATGATAGTATGATTAGTCTGGTTTCTTAAAATCTGAGGAAATTTGGATGTTTGCATGGCTAGCGCTGAACTAGAATATACTGTTCCGCGTCCACTATATTTAAACAGTGTTAATTTACACGATGGTATCATTTAATTCGAGTATTTTTTGTTTTAACATACCCAGGTTCAAATAAAAAGATAAAGACAGAAAATGCTATGGTGATTCAAGACCAAGTGCCGGTTGCAGGTATTATTTTTTTTACTGGTGTCGTTGTTGTTTGGTCATTGTCATTGTTGTTTATTTATTTATTTATTTATTTATTTACTTATTAAACTTCGGCCGTTAACACCAACAGAAACCAGGTAAATACGTTCCCCGCTCGCCAACAATTTTGGGAACAGAAATATTAACTAATGGTTAAACGTCTCGTATATTCGTTGTTGGTCTATTATTTTATCGAATATTTATCCCAACTGTCAATTTCAATATTACCCCAACTTAGGCGTTGTTTCTATGTATGCCAGGCTGGCCCAATGAGCGTAACTACTCGTTAAACATGATCTGGCCGTATCGTCCTTAAATAGTAGAAACCTCTTTGCAAGGTCCATTGAAGGGTTTTTGGATACACTGTTGAAACTGCGAACCGGCTTATTTTAGCCTGTCAAACATGGTCTTGTTTTATTTGTGTTTGTTGTAGTAAGCGGAGAATCGTGGAAATGGGAAGAGACTTCGATAGTTCATCGAGAAAAGTTTATCAAATTGGGGGAGTATAGAAAAACCCATCCAAAAGACATCAAGGAGGTTAACGGAGTACACGTTTGTTGCTCGAATGAGTTTCTCATTGGGAAGGGAAGTGATGGCACTCGAGTTTATGTAGGATTAGAGAAAAATGGTCATGAGAGGGCTGTAAAACGTTTGCCCAGAGATGTTTGCACTGGCTTAGCTGAACAAGAAAAGAAAGTCTTAAAAGAACTCAATGAAACTAAGTCAAATTATGTGGTAAATTATTGGTTTTTAGACGAGCAAAGCGACAGGGACTACCTATTTATAATCTTGGATTTATGTGAAGAAACGTTGGAAAATTTTGTTGCTAATAGCAGTGATGACGATCTGGTAAAAATAGCGCCAGATATCATTCGGCAAGTTTTGAAAGGATTGGCTGATCTTCATTGCGAACCAATGCCCATTTTGCATCGAGATTTAAAACCATCCAACATTTTGCGCAACGTTCACGATAAATGGTTGCTGGCAGATTTTGGTATCAGCCGAATCCTAACAGAGGGTGCCAGTACCCTTCCAACCACTGACCAGAGAGGAACGGAAGATTGGAGAGCCGTTGAGTCCAATAACATGGCAGCTGATGATGGCAAATTACGCTTCAAGAAAGAATCCGATATTCAGGTAAGGTTTTCAGTTATAAACATAGGGGCGTCACTAGAGAGTGTATGGGGGGGGGG